GGAGCGCAAAGGGGAAATCGCTCTCTTACTCCAGCGCCAGGCGACCAGACGCAGCTCGAGCCAGCGACCCGGACGTCCGTGCGACGCACCGAGGCACGCGGTTAACACAAGGATCAGCGGACCGCCGTGGACACTTAACAGTGAGTAAGAAGGTGAATTAGAATCATAGCCGATAAATAGGGAATAGGTGCCGGTTTAGTGGAATAGGCCAGCCTCGTCGACTCACTGATTCAACATTAGTTACCAGGTAATAAATCATTAATAGCGAAGCGTGGTCTCGCGTGATCTTGTCGTGCAGTGTGAGCGTGTGGGAACGCGTGTGGTACTGTGTGTGCGTAAGCTAGCGGCGTGCGTAATCGGCGTCCCCCAGGTGCGCGATCATAACGTAAGCGGCCAGCAGGCGGCGAGCGCTGCGCAGAGCGGCGCAAGAGTGGGTATCGCGTGTGGAGCTGTATGCGTGTGTGCGCGCACGTTCACTACCTGTATAATACAGGTGCGCGATCCTAACGTGAGTGGTCTGTATTGAGTGAGTGCCGCGCAGAGCTGTGTGTGGGTGTGCACGTACGTAATTAACCATGCCTATTACGCGGACCCGCGGGGGAGGGGAATCCTCGTGCGACGGCTCTCACCCCATGGGTGAAGAACCCAACAGCGGTTCGCCTAGTAGCGAGGGGGCGAGTAATGAGGTTAATAATGAGGTTAACCCGGCCGTTAGCGGTACAGAGGGAGGGACCTCGGGGGCCAGCGACCCCCGCACAACACACGCACGTTAGTATCTGTTAGAAGAAGACAACACCTAGCACCTTCAACTATACACATCATACAGCCAACTCGTAAATGGGGCGGTATATGACAGCCTTCGCTTCTGTCGACGGGGCCAAGCAGCAAGTGTTTAACTCCATTGTTTCAGAATCCGTGTCATCACCCGGCCACAGCGCCTGAGCCAAACTACATCTCCCGAACAAGGCAGCCTTCCCTATGCTGTGTATTTTAGCAGTATATTTACGGACGCACTTGAAGATAACAATTCGTCTAGAAAAGGCAGGCGACTTGTTCTACCAACATGATTTCAATTTATATCCGAAAGTAGTATGAGTTCATTCGTGAGTAGTATTCACTAAACCCCGATAGCACTAACCTACACACAGTTATGATTAAACAAAGTAAACATTAGTCGCCCATCTCAGCTCAGACATGATCATAGCAATTTTTTCCAAATTCGTATAGGGTCCCACGAGAACAGGGCACGTACACAAACTCTCAAATTGTAAACCCACATTGTATACTCTAACATTATAAACTCTATCAATATAACCTTTAAACTATGAGCTATACATTGTAACGCTTTAAAATAACACTACAAACTAGTGTTATAGTAAACTATAATGTTGTGAACTCTAACAATATAAGCTATGAGCTATACATTATAACGCTATAAAATAACAATAAACTGGTGTTAAAGATTAGAACACCGTACATTGAAGTGTGATATTTGAATTCGAATTCTTAGCTTCACACCGTGGTCCTCTAGGAATCACAATTTGCTCGTCAGTATGTAACATGTCTGTATGTAATATGTATGCATGAGATATGTCTGTATGTAATATGTATGCATGTAACATGTATGTATGTATGTAAAATGGACGTGCGAACCAATGGTGGGATATGTGAAACATGAAGGTGCAGAATCAGGATGGGATTACAATTATTTGAATAACACTTTGGTGGTATGCGCCGCAGCCTGGCTGCCCAGCAGATACCAAGGAGGAATTTTGGGAACAATTGATGGACACATGCAATCAAATAAATGGAGAAGAGCAGTTAGTAATTGGTGGAGACCTAAATGGACACGTTGGAAACGCCCGGGATGGATACCCTCGAAACCATGGTGGCCAAGGATATGGTACCCGGAACGATGAGGAAAACCGAGCCCTGGACTTTGCGGAAGCCCATGATCTTGTCCTCGCCAACACCTTCTTCAAGAAGAGACCGTCCCATCTCATTACGTACGCCAGTGGTGGGAGATCAACTCAAATTGATTTCTGGCTTGTCAAGCGGGATAAGCTGAAAACGGTGACAAACACTAAAGTCATACCATCGGACAACATCACCCCACAACATCGCATCCTGATCATGGACATGAAAATGGACATTGGCCAGCGACATCGCCCACCAACAACGGAACAGCAGCGAATTAAGTGGTGGCGGATGAAGGAATGCAAAGATCAGCTGAGAGTCGCCCTCAATCAGATTGACGTGAACACCAACCGACCAGCGAATGCGATTTGGGAAGATCTCGCCGGCCAACTGTGCACAGCAGCAACGGAAGCACTGGGGCTAACTAAGCCGGCAAAACACTTCATTGACAAGCAAATATGGTGGTGGAACGAAGAAGTTCAGCTAGCAGTGAAAGAGAAAAAGCTAGCTTTCAAGAAGTGGCGCAAAACGCTCGCAGATCTGGATTACCAACAATACAGAAACTGCAAATCGGCAGCGAAGCGAGTAGTAGCAGCGGTGAAATTAGCTCAATACGACCAACTGTATGTCGAACTGGACACCCCAGAAGGTGCCAATAAGATCTATCGACTGGCAGAGGCGCGCCATCGTTCGACTCAGGATATTGGTCAAGTCAAATGCATAAAGGATGAGAATCACAGCGCTCTCAGAGACCCGCCCGCCATCCTTCAACGCTGGAGCGACTACTTCTCTGGAATCTGCAACCAGCAATTTCCCCACCCACCTATTATTAGCGCTGAACACGTCCTCGATCCGGTTTCACCTATCACCATCACCGAAGTGGAACAAGCTATCAAGAGAATGAAGAATGGGAAAGCGACTGGCCCGGACGATATACCTGCTGAGGCCTGGAAGATCCTTGGCAGGCAGGGTGCTGCCCTCCTTACCCAGCTCTTCAGCACCATCACGAGCACCGGTGAGGTCCCAGAAGCCTGGTCGACCAGCACGACGGATCCAATTTGGAAGGGTAAAGGGGCCGTGGCAGAATGCTGGAATTACAGGCCAATCCGGCTCCTGTGTCATGCGATGAAGATCTTTGAGCGAGTTTTGGACACGAGGATTAGAAACATCGTCACCCTATCACCCAACCAATGCGGCTTCGTCAAAGGATATGGCACTACGGACGCCATATTCGCGGCGAGGCTCCTGCTGGAGAGGCACAGAGAGAAGAACAAAGCTGTGCACGTGTCGTTCCTCGACCTTGAAAAGGCATTTGACAGGGTCCCCCACGACCTCATCTGGCACTCGCTTCGATCCCATGGAGTCCCTGAAACCTACGTGCATTGGGTACAAGAACGTCACCAGTGCAGTCAGGTGTGCAGTGGGCATATCACCGCCATTTCCCATCAGCGTTGGAGTGCACCAAGGATCGGCCCTGTCACCACTCCTGTTTATCCTGTGCATGGACACGATCACTGCCGACCTGCACACGCCCCTGCCATGGTCAATTCTCTACGCGGATGACGTCCTCCTCTCAGATGAAGAGAGAGGAAAAGTCGAAAGACAAACCCGCATGTGGTAAGAACGTTTGGACGAAAACGGGATGAGGTTCAACATCAAAAAGACGGAGTATATGGAGTGTGGCCCCCAAACCGACGGCACCATCAGCATTGACAGAGAAGATCTGAAGAAAGTGACGGACTTCAAGTACCTGGGTTCCACCATCAGCTCAGATGGTAGCATCACGACTGATGTGAGGTCACGAGTCAATGCGGCATGGATGAAGGCAAGTCACCGGAGTCCTCTGTGATAGGAAAATGCCGGATAGGCTGAAGGGAAAAATGTACAAGACCATCGTCCGACCGGTGGCACTCTATGGATCCGAGTGCTGGCCAGCCACAACTGTACACGAACAAGCTCTCCACACCATGGAGATGAGGATGCTCAGATGGAGCCTCGGACTCACTCGATGGGATCGTGTCATGAACGAAGACGTTCGGAATCGACTTGGTGTGGCCCCCATTGCGGACAAGATGCTTGAGGCAAGGCTTCGGTGGAACGGCCATGTGATGCGAAGTGAAGAGTCATCAATGGCCAAGACTGCCATGTGTATTGAGCCAGAGGGCCGCCGTCCACGCGGACGTCCGAAGAAGCGATGGATGGATCGAATAAAGGAAAACATAAAAACGGTCAACGCATCCCCTGAAGATGCCCTGGACCGAGCCAAATGGGGAAGACAATGCCGAAAAGCGGACCCTGCGCCACAGCGGGAACAACGCTAGGAAGAAGATTACCTATTGGATTTCACTCCCTCGTCGAGAAGGCCGCTCTCTTCCTTTTCTAAAGTTACATGCTAATTTCTCTGCATTCACTTTAAATCGAGGACAAAGTTTTTATCCAAAATAGACGCACAATTACACACTGAGATGCACTTACATATTCATGCATGAAGCACAATGGGCACATTACCCTTCGGTATGTTAACAGACATGCGGATTGTACCTTCCAAAATTAGCAATCGAATGCAAATATCCTGAAAGACAAAGGATTGGATCCTAGCGGGGGAGTTATAAGGCGGCTCAGAAGCAGAGCTCAATGCCATTTCGAGAGGGAACTTGATGAGGTTGGACGCTCGACTCGTCGCTCTGCTGATCGCCCTTCAACCGCGAGACAACGCAGCCTGGCGAGCACAATTGCTGTGTCGACAGTTAGGCGACTTTGCGTCGGGAGAGTTCGTGGCGACATCTTCAGACGGGTTCCAGACATCGAATTACCGTGAAGCTCCAAGTAAGTGTCTATTTTCGCGGATAAACTCTTAAATGTGTTCGTCGTCAAATTAGCGGGATTTTTTTGCGTCTCGGTTCGACGCGAGTGTTAAACATCCTTGCGGCCGATAGCGTACTTTTGACTCGATAACACCGCTGCTGTTACTAAGCTCACATGGAGCAGAGACGCTCTCCACAGCCCCACGCACACGGAGACAAGAAGCCATTCAATTGCTCTGTGTGTGGGAAGGCATTTGCACGGCAATCAAGTCTTCAGAGACACCAGAGAACACACACGGGCGAGAAGCCATTCCTGTGCCCTGTGTGCGGGAAGGCATTTGCACGGTCGTCAACTCTTCAAACTCATCAGAGAACGCACACGGGCGAGAAGCCATTCCTGTGCCCTGTGTGTGGGAAGGCATTTGCACGGTCATCAACTCTTCAAACTCATCAGAGAACGCACACGGGCGAGAAGCCATTCCTGTGTCCTGTGTGTGGGAAGGCATTTGCACGGTCATCAACTCTTCAAACTCATCAGAGAATGCACACGGGCGAGAAGCCATTCCTGTGCCCTGTGTGTGGGAAGGCATTTGCAGACTCATCAACTCTTCATAGTCATCAGAGAACACACACGGGCGAGAAGCCATTCCTGTGCCCTGTGTGTGGGAAGGCATTTGCAGACTTATCAACTCTTAATAGTCATCAGAGAACACACACGGGCGAGAAGCCATTCCTGTGCTCTGTGTGTGGGAAGAAATTTGCACACTCATCAACCAGGAACAGGCATCAGAAGGTCCACAATGATAGGAAACTGCAATGAGTCCTGAAGAAGTTTCCACCTTCGATCCCATGCAGTTGGATCCCGAGAGATGGCTGGATGTAATGGAGTGGCTCGAGGATCAAACAGAGAGCTCGGGGTGACTGAAAAAATATTACGTCATGTGGTTATACCTATTAAGCCGTATCGAGTACTTTTGTGTGTAATTTTGACCATTTTAGTTTTACAGTTTTTTTGAGAGTTTAATTACGTGCACAGTGGTGGTTTGTTATGTTATCGGATTACTTGCCGAATTGGTGTGAAGAGCACTGGTTGTGAGAGGGTTCAATTGTAGTCGTTAGGTGTTCCTGTTGAGCTAAAGTTGGAATGCGTCTGTAGGTACATCTTTACTCAACATTTTAAACGATTTTTTTTCAAGTATATAGCTGTTTTTGATTGGTATTAATCGACTTTAGATAGCTGATTTCAGGATGTACATTGATGACGCGTTCGTTGGATATATGGCATTGACTTTAACAAACGTGATGAACTAATAAGAAAATATTGGAGAATGATAATTTAACGCTTTGCTATTCCTGGAACGGATATGGTTTGCATTGTACTGTAACTATTTGAACATAGGACATAATAAATATTCGGTTCGAATTTTAACGTCAACATTATTGCAGATGAATAAAAACTTATTTGAACAAATGTTTGTCCGTTCTTTATTTTAAAATGTTCCTAGTAAAGTTTCAGGTGGAGGATCTCCATCACACAAGTGTGCCCTTAACCGGCAGCATCTTGGCTGTCTACCCGATTAACACGTGTTCCTTGAGGGGAAAGGTCCCCGTAGTTAATCGTTCATCAACGTACCAGTCCCTACTCCCCAAGTATGTCGGGGATAACTGTACTTTATAACATGTAAACCGTAATACTATAAACGATAACACTGAACATTGAACGATTATAAACCAGTGTTTAATTTATAACCATATTAACGGAGGTAAGGTATTATAATATCATTACAATCACAGCGTGGTCGTATAAGAATCACGCACAAACCCATTATAAACTCATTAGATTATGAATCGTTACAATTATTATAACAATCACAAATTGTGACAAAGCGAAATTCCCACATGCAAAACACCACGCTCACGTGACGAATTCTTAAACAAACTGCAACACTTAAGTGACAGAACTCAACAAAAAAACGCCGCAATAAAAAAAACAACATCAATGGACAAATCCTAAAAACAGACAACACACGCACGTTAGTAGCTGTTAGAAGAAAACAACACCTAGCACCTTCAACTATACACATTATACAGCCAACTCGTAAATGGGGCGGTATATGACAGCCTTCGCTGCTGTCGACGGGGCCAAGCAGCGAGTGTTTAACTCCATTGTTTCAGAATCCGTGTCATCACCCGGCCACAGCGCCTTAGCCAAACTACATCTCCCGAACCAGGCAGCCTTCTCTATGCTGTGTATTTTAGCAGTATATTTACGGACGCACTTGAAGATAACAATTCGTCTAGAAAAGACAGGCGACTTGTTCTACCAACACGATTTCAATTTATATCCGAAAGAAGTATGAGTTCATTCATGAGTAGTATTCACTAAGCCCCGATGGCACTTACCTACACACAATTATGATTAAACAAAGTAAACATTAGTCGCTCATCTCAGCTCAGACATGATCATAGCAATTATTTCCACATCCGTGTCGGGTCCCACGAGAACAGGGCACGTTCACAAACTCTCAGATTTTAAACTCACATTGTATACTCTAACATTATAAACTCTAACAGCATAACCTTTAAACTATAAGCTATACATTGTAACGCTTTAAAATAACACTACAAACTAGTGTTATAGTAAACTTTAATGTCGTGAACTCTAACAATATAAGCTATGAGCGATACATTATAACGCTATAAAATTACATCATGAACTAGTGTTACAGATTAGAACACCGTAGATTGAAGTGTGGTATTCAAATCTCATTCGAATTCTTAGCTTCACACCGTGGTCCTCTAAGAATCACACTATGCTCGTGAGTTTGTAATATGTCTGTATGTAATATGCATGAATGTAACCAACCAGGCGAGTAATGGAAGAGCTGATCCCGAATCGGAGGCCACCACCCGAACATCAGCAGCAGTCGATAGCGTGATTCTAATAGGACCACGTTGTTATTATAACAATTTTAATGCGATCAAAACCGCGCACCTCCCATTTTGCATTTACGACTCGCGATATGCATCTACATATAACATACATTCTAGCTCAGTGTAATTCTAATACGACCATAGTGTTATTCTAATCATTCTAATCCGATCCTAATCCACCAGTTCGCATATCCGACCCCCGGTTCGCATGTCCAACGGACATACATATTACATACATACGACCATAGTATGTATGTAATATGCATACATATGTGCAGTGTGATTCTATTACGATCACATTGTGATTATAATACTTCTAATGATATTCTAATATTGATTTGAAGCTTTCGTGACTGCAGGAATTAATACTCGTTGGTTCTTTCGGTAAAGTCACGTAGGTAGAAATGAAACAAGGTAAATCACGTTTCGGACGAAACACAAGCGCCCGTCTTCAGGTGAAAATCGCGATATCCGCGATGTCTGCTGCGAGCAGCACGATGTCTGCTGCAGACATCGTTTCGGGCGCTTGTGTTGCGTCCGAAACGTCGTGATTTATTTTGTTTTATTTCTTCCTACGTGACTTTACCGAAAGCACCAAAGAGTATAGATTTTCAAATACTGTCACTCCGTTTACGGTTTTATAAATTACATAAAAAACCTACTTTATAGTCGTTTCATGTTTAATGTTATCTTTAAAGTGTTACAGTTTACGTGTGTTAGAGAACACGGGTGCCCGCTCCGCCTGTCGCCGTGGAGACTTGTGCGCTGTGAGGGCTCACACCCACCGTAAACACCCGTTCCGCGATCCCTTTAAACGAACGTGATCACCCGCTCGCGGCGGTCGCGCGTGTGCGTTCAAAGTCATTCGCCCTCCGAGCCCCGTTCAGAGCGTGTGATCGCTGCGCGGGGCTGTGTGAGAGGAGGCGTCGCATTTGATTGGCCGAGAGGCAACGCTGTGTTTACAGGCGTACGGGAGCCGGCGACGAGCCATGTCCCTCTCGCGAACTCGCGGAGGTGCGAACCAGGGAGGGGAACCGTCGGGCGACAGTCCTCACCCCGCGAGCGATGAGCCCAGCGGCGGCAGCAGCTGTTCGCAGACCAGCGAGGGGTCGGGGAACGGCGGGACCCCCCCCTGCAGTCGGCGCCCAGCAGGGAGAGACCTCGGGGGCCAGCGGCAAAGACAGGACCACGGTGTGAAGCTAAGACTTCGAATGAGATTCGAATATCACACTTCAATGTACGGTGTTCTAATCTGTAACATTAGTTTATGATGTTATTTTATAGCGTTATAATGTATCGCTCACAGCTTATATTGCTAGAGTTCACAACATTATAGTTTACTATAACACTAGTTTGTAGTGTTATTTTAAAGGGTAAGGCGCTGTGAGTTAGGCGATGTGACTGGGTGATCACACGGATTCCGAAACACAGCGGAGACGATACATTCCACCGAGCTTAAAAAATGAATAGAAATGTTTAAATACGTTTTTGAAATCATGTGTATTGTATATATGTTATAATGTGTGATTGTTATACTCTTTAAATGTGTGTATATACTGTAAATAGCTAATCAATTCCATTGATACCACACATTCATCCAACAGTGGACAGTGTGATTCTAATAATTGTAATTCGATTAGAACAACCTACATTGAAGTGTGATATTCAAATTATTCGAATCACTCCGTGGTCCTCTTCGAATCACACTACGGTCGTAAGTATGTAGCATGCATGCATGTAACATCTCTGTATGTAGTAAGTATATGTGCATGTAACATGTCTGTATGTAGTATGTATGCGTGTAGTATGTATGCTTGTAACATGTATGCATGTAACATGTATGCATGTAGCATGTATGCATGTAACATGTATGCATGTAACATGTATGCATGTAACATGTATGCATGTTACATGTATGCATGTAACATGTATGCGAGTTTGTAATATGGACGTGCGAACCAATGGTGGGATATGCGAAACGGAAGCTGCAGAATCAGGATGGGATTAAAATTATTTATTAACACTTTGGTGGTATTAGTATCAAGCTATCCACTGCTGGATGAATGTTAATCCCAATGGCATCAAATAGCAATATTCAGTATGTGTATATATAAAATAATCGCACAAAACCAACATGTGCTGTAGTCGGTGCTCGGAGTCAGGTGGAACGGGGAGCCAGGGGCAAGGGAGTCGGGATAGGAAAGAGCGCAGCGCCAGGGCTGGAGGTGGCTGCGCTCCTCGGCCGGCCGTGTTGGCCGAACCCACGGCCGGCGCAGAGGAGGCAGCACGGGGCAGCCGACTGTGTCGGGGGGACCAGTGGGACCGAGCCCGGCACCCCTCACCCCTGGGAAGTTGGTACACCTGGTGTATGTCAATAACTTTAATAAACCCTCGGCGACAGCCCTTAAACCTCACATTCGTCTCCGAGTGCGTCCTGGGAACTTCTCTACATATGTGTAATAGTGTACGGGCATGTGAACTGTGCTCGTATGTATGTAATGTGATTCGGGCTCTGCTCTTCATTTCTTCGCCTGGATGGTGCCGCAGGAAGCAGCATCTCTGAAGGTGTTGCAGTTGTTGCTGTTGCAGTTGTTGCTGCTGCAGTTGCTGCAGTTGTTGCTGTTGCGCTTTTGTTGCTGCTGTTGTTGCTGCTGCTGTTGCAGTTGTTGCTGCTGCTGTTGTTGCTGCTTAAGATGCGTCAGTTCCAGTGGTGTTCCGTGATGGGATAACAAACTTTGATCAAATACTTTTATCAAACGAGTCATTACAATTGTAACGATTCATAATTGCAGGGGCTTATGTTGGGTTTGTGCGATTATTTTATATAGTCATACTGAATATTGCTATTTGATGCCATTGAGATGGAACATTCATCCAGCAGTGGACAGCTTGATCCTAATACCACCAAAGCGTGATCCTGCACCTTCCGTTTCACATATCCCACCCTTGGTTCGCACGTCCATATTACATACATACATGTTACATAATACATATTACATACATATATTCATGCATATTACATACAGACATGTTACATACTCACGAGCATAGTGTGATTCTTAGAGGACCACGGTGTGAAGTTAAGAATTCGAATGAGATTCGAATATCACACTTCAATGTTCGGTGTTCTAATCTGTAACACTAGTTTATGATGTAATTTTATAGCGTTATAATGTATCGCACATAGCTTATATTGTTAGAGTTCACAACATTATAGTTTACTATAACACTAGTTTGTAGTGTTATTTTAGAACGTCGCAATGTATAGCTCATAGTTTAAAGGTTATATTGTTAGAGTTTATAATGTTAGAGTATTCAATGTGAGTTTACAATTTGAGAATATGTGGACGTGCCCTGTTCTCGTGGGACCCGACACGGATTTGGAAATAATTGCTATGATCATGTCTGAGCTGGGATGAGCGACTAATGTTTACTTTGCTTAATCATAACTGTGTGTAGGTTAGTGCCATCGGTGCTTAGTGAATACTACTCATGAATGAACTCATACTTCTTTCGGATAGAAATTTAAATCATGTTGGTAGAACAAGTCGCCTGTCTTTTCTAGACTAATTGTTATCTTCAAGTGCGTCCGTTAATATTCTGCTAAAATACACAGCATAGGGAAGGCTGCCTTGTTGGGACGATGTAGTTTGGCTAAGGCGTTGTGGCCGGGTGATGACACGGATTCTGAAACAATGGAGTTAAACACTCGCTGCTTGGCCCCGTCGACAGCAGCGAAGGCTGTCATATACCGCCCCATTTACGAGTTGGCTGTATGATGTGTATAGTTGAAGGTGCTTGGTGTTGTCTTCTTCTAACAGCTACTAACGTGCGTGTGTTGTCTGTTTTTAGGATTTGTCCATTGATGTTGTTCTTTTTATTGCGACGTTTTTATGTTGAGTTCTGTCACTTGAGTGTTGCAGTTTGTTTAAGAATTCGTCACGTCAGCGTGGTGTTTTGTTTGTGGGAATTTCGCTTTGTCACAATTTGTGATTGTTATAATAATTGTAACGATTCATAATGTCATGAGTTTATAATGGGTTTGTGCGTGGATTTATATAAATATATTCCGTCTTTTGTTATTCGATGACATCTAGCAGTGAAAATCGTGATTGTAATATGACCATGTTGTAATTGTAATAATTTTTATCCGATCCTTCCACGTACACTATACAAACATATTAGCGATTCTTATACGACCACACTGTAATTCTAATGATATTATAATACCTTACCTCCGTTTATATGGTTATAAATTGAAACACTAGTTTATAATCGTTTAAAGTTTAGTGTTATTATTTATAGTATTACAGTTTACATCTTATAAGGTACAACATACTTCGGGATTAGGGACTGGTACGTTGATGAACGATTAACTACGGGGACCTTTCCCCTCAAGGAACACGTGTTAATCGGGTAGACATTCAAGATGCTGCCGGTTAAGGGCACACTTGTGTGACGGAGATCCTCCACCTAAAATTCTCTTAACATGTTTTAAGCTTGGGACATTATAAAATAAAGACCGGACAAACATTTGTTAAAAATACGTTTTTATTCATCTGCAATCATTTTTACGTCAAAACTCAAAGGGAATATTTATTATGTCCTATGTTCAAACATTTCCATTACAATGCAAACCATTTCCGTTCCAGGAATACCAAAGCGTTAAAGTTTCATTCCCCATGATGTCCTTATTAGTTCACCACATTTGTTCACTGTGCGTCTATGTTGAAGTCAAGGCCATATATCCAACGAACACGTCATCAATGTACATCCGGAAACCGGCTATCTAAAGTCGATTAATACCATTCAAAAAAGCTATATACTTGAAAAAAACTGTTTAAAATGTTGAGTAAAGATGTACCTACAGACGCATTCCAACTTTAGCTCAACAGGAACACTTAACGACTACAATTGAACCCTCTCACAACCAGTGCTCTTCACACCAATTCGACAAGTAATCCGATAACATAACAAACCACCACTGTGCACGTAATTAAACTCTCAAAAAAACTGTAAAACTAAAATGGTCAAAATTACACACAAAAGTACTCGATACGGCTTAATAGGTATAACCACATGACGTAATATTTTTTCAGTCACCCCGAGCTCTCTGTTTGATCCTCGAGCCACTCCATTACATCCAGCCATCTCTCGGGATCCAACTGCATGGGATCGAAGGTGGAAACTTCTTCAGGACTCATTGCAGCACCTTGAATTTCAGCTTTTGATTTCAGTTTCCTATCATTGTGGACCTTCTGATGCCTGTTCCTGGTTGATGAGTGTGCAAATGTCTTCCCACACACAGAGCACAGAAACGGCTTCTCGCCCGTGTGTGTTCTCTGGTGACTCTGAAGATGTGATGACCGTGCAAATGTCTTCCCACACACAGGGCACAGGAACGGCTTCTCGCCCGTGTGTGTTCTCTGGTGTCTCTGAAGATGTGATGACCGTGCAAATGTCTTCCCACACACAGGGCACAGGAATGGCTTCTCGCCCGTGTGTGTTCTCTGGTGTCTCTTAAGATGTGATGACCGTGAAAAGGACTTCCCACACACAGAGCAATTGAATGGCTCCTTGCCTCCGTGTGCGTGGGGCTGTGGAGAGCCTCTCTGCTCCATGTGAGTGTAGTAACAGCAGCGGTGTTATTGAGTCAAAAGTACGCTATCGGCCGCAAGGATGTTTTGGATTTTGTTAACTGCTAAAACAAGAACGACACTCGCGTCTAACCGAGACGCAAAAAAATCCCGCTAATTTAACGACGCGAAAATAGACACTTACTAGGAGATTCACGGTATATCGATGTCTGGAACCCGTCTGAAGATGTCGCCACGAACTCTCCCGACGCAAAGTCGCCTAACTGTCGACACAGCAATTGTGCTCGCCAGGCTGCGTTGTCTCGCGGTTGAAGGGCGATCAGCAGAGCGACGAGTCGAGCGTCCAACCTCATCAAGTTCCCTCTCGAAATGGCATTGAGCTCTGCTTCTGAGCCGCCTTATAACTCCCCCCCCTAGGATCCAATCCTTTGTCTTTCAGGATATTTGCATTCGATTGTTAATTTTGGAAGGTACAATCCGCATGTCTATTAACATACCGAAGGGTAATGTGCCCATTGTGCTTCATGCATGAATATGTACGTGCATCTCAGTGTGTAATTGTGCGCTTATTTTGAATAAATGGAAAAATGTTGTCCTCGATTTAAAGTGAATGCAGAGAAATTAGCATTCTCGACGATGGAGTGAAACCCAATAGGTAATATTCTTTTACAGCGTTACAATGGATAGGTTGTAGTTCATAGGTTATATTATATTTCACTATGAAAGAGCTTAACATGTGAGAGTATACAATATCACAGTTGATCAAATGCGACGATCAAGGGCGTCAATCGGGTGAGTTTGATCAGAGGCTTTAATCAAAGGCGTCATCCCATCACGGAACACCACTTCCCTGCGTATATCACAACAACAGAAGCAATTACAGCAGCAACAACAGTAGCGACAACAACAGCAGCAACATCACATTTCGAGGGCGACGCAGCTACTTCCGATTTTGCTGCCCAGCTGTTTGCAGTCGGGACCTGCTCTCGCAGGACCCCACACGTCTTTGGAAATGATTGCGATGATCATGTCTGAGCTGAGAATTAAGTCACTCAAGATGACTTTGTTTAACCATAACTTTAGGAAGGTTAGTGTCATGAGGGCTGTGTGAATACTACTCATGAATGAAATCACACTCCTGTATGACCAACATTGTACTAATTTTGGTTGATCGAGTAGAACAAGGCACGTGCTACGTCCAGACGAATTCTTGTCAACAACAGTGTTCTTAAATATGATGCTAAAATAAATGTTAACACTGGATTAAACGTGCACCTCTTAACCCCTCCCTCGCATTTACGACTAACAATTTGCATTTGCACATAACATACATTCAAGTACAGTAATTTGCTAAAACGACCAAATTGTCATTCTAAAATTTGAATGCCATTCTTACCCTCGACCCCCACAGTTCACATATCCGACCGTCGGTTCGATTGAACGGACAATTAACAAACATGTGTAGAGTTCCATTATAATACTTCTAATGAAATTAAAATACCGTACCTCCGTTTATGGTGGTATAAATTATAAAACCAGTTGGTAGCTTTTTTTGTCGTTTAATGTTTAGTGTTATTGTTTATAGTGTTATCAATTTACGTGTTTTTAAGTACAGGTGATTCCCGGTATACTTCGGTATTCTGGACCTGAACGTTGCACCGTCTCTCTGGGGACCCGTGTGGTGTGTGTAGCGAGTATCACGGGGTGGGCGGGTAGTGTGGTGATAGTGGTCACGGTCGGCACCGATGCACGACCACCGCCACCACCCCTACTGGGCGGTGGACCTGCCACCACAAAGCAGCACGCGTCGGAGGAGTGAGGCGATCGCTGTCGCCACTCGAGCGAGGCACCCTCGCTTCCTCTTCTTTTCGTGCATCTCCACCTGCACCTCTTCCGTTTTCTCCTCCGTCTCATCCTCCTCCATCCCCTCTTCTTCATCCCCCACCACCATCTTCTCCTCTACCTCCTCTTCCTGCACCACCTCCAACTTCTCCACCATCTTCTCCTCCGCTAGCACCATCTCTTCCTCCTTCATCTCCTCCTCAACTTCCGGCACCACCATCTCCACCACCGTCTTCTCTTCCTCCTCCACCATTGTTTCCCCTTTGCCCGTCGTCTCCATGTCCTCCACCACGACCATCTGTTCATCCTTTGTTGTCTCCTTGTCCTCCATCTCTGTATTGTCTTTCTCCTCTCCCTCCGTGTTCTCCTCCATTGTCACCATCGCAATCTCGTCCTCCTTTGCCTTCTCTTCCTCCGATTTCTCCTCCTCCTCTGTCTCTACCTCATCCTCCATCATCTCCTCCTTCACCTCTTCCTTCGTCTCCTTCTCCACAACCTCTGTCTTCGCTTCAAAGGCCTGGACGAGTGAGGAGGAGGGCTGAGCTGGCTCAGATCTGTGAAGAGACAACACGACACCGTTCTAGATTTGAAGCTTTCGTGACTGCAATGATTCATATTCTTAGGTTTTTTCGGTAAAGTCACGTAGGTAAAACACATTAAAAAGTAAAATAAAATAAAAAATAAAAATCACGACGTTTCGGAGGCAACACAAGCTTCCGTCTTCAGGTGGTACCGTCACAGCCACGACAGCTGTATCAGGTAAATGAGAGATTGCAGAAGCTGCCACTTCGTTTATATAATGGTTGGAGAAGGTGGTGGGGCAAGGGCCGCATACTTTTATTAATATGGTAAGGTGAGGCTTAAGACTAAGAATAGACTGCATATCAAAGGCTGAGCCTTTGTTATGGAGAGGTGCGGTTTGTGACTCAACCTGTAACAGGGAGACCACCACTAGACATGGTAAAACTGATGGTTGTCTGTCAAACACGACACCGTTCCACCTTGCTGCTACGGCAGACATCGCCATCTCCCCATCGTCCGTGGGTGGAATGTGTGGCGGATTAATTCGAGCTGAATAGAAACAGCAATAACGACATGGCCAGTGAGTGTGCTTAGTATTGGTGCTGTCATTCTCATGGCGCCAGGCTATCCTTGAGATAGGTGCAGCTGTGTCTCACACAGACTGCTGTAGTATCACAGTAGTGGGTGGCGTTGCTGTGCAAATTTAGCTGAATAATTTGAAGTGACATTTTTTTGGTTCTTTCGGTAAAGTCATGTAGCTATAAAATAAAATAAATTAAATCACAACGTTTCGATTGTAACACAAGCAATCATCATCAGGTGGGAAAACCACACAAGAAACGTTCTTGCAATAACGACATGGCCATCGAAACGTCGTGATTTAATTTCATTTATTTTATTTTATTTCATACCTACGTGGATCCCTGTAGTCACTAAATCTTCAAATCTAGATTGAACATATTCTATATGTATATTCTAATTGACCCCTTGCACATAATGTCCTAAGCATTTCAAATGGCATCGATAGAGATCCTGAACGTCCACTGTAACGGAATGGGTGTGGATCTGTGTGGCCAATGCAGCAGCAATAATAGCCAAGGCGGGAAGCAAGATCTGAACTGTAATGGTGAAGAATGAGTGCACGACCATTTGGTCGCTTCAACACATCCACGATTTCAAAAAAGTGTCCGTCAGTGATTTGTGGTCGAGAGAGCCACCTCCCTTGACGTCGAAGGCATCTCAGAGTGCATTGCATGCGATTAGCCTCTCGCATCTCTCATCTCATCGCGTTTTAAATTGAACACCCCTCTCAGTGGTAGCTGTCGCTGTGCATTACAAAGCGACTTGGCAGCTGGCCTGGAAACAGGCGATAGAGAGCGAAAATCTCACGGTGGTTGGAGGGTTACATGGTGAAGATATGCCCACTTCGTTATGTCGTCTAACTCAGAAACCAGTTACGAAAAATAAATCTGTCCTCAGCATAGCGGAATGTACACGTGGAGTTTGCAGTGTCTGTGAATTTTGAGAGCGCGACAGGGCTTGAGCACCTGTGCTTCACAGCAACATTGACCTGGGTTTGATTTCCACGTTTGGCCACATTCTCCGTGTGGATTGTGCAGCCACCTGTTCTGGGAATGTTCTGCAGCTTTCTCCCTGTTACTAAACCCACACAAGCAATGCAAATTGTTCAATTTGGATCGCAAACAGTAGCAACTTTCTTGAAAAATGCGAGCAAACTTGGCAGGATCCTCCTGAAAAAAAGTCTTGAGACCGAGTAAGGCTGATGCTGCGTGAGAAGCATGGCAATAAATAACAAAAATAAACACACAGGGCGCACACGCAGAGTGGTTTACCGTGGCTCAGCGACTCCGGAGTTTGCTTTATCTTCTTGGAAGCCCTCTTCTTCAAAGCTCGGAGCTATTGGGCCCCACACAGGATTGGAGGACGTGGCGGCGGCGATGGCGGCGGTGGTGGAGGTGGTGTCAGTGGTAGTGGTGCTGCTGCTGGTGGTAGCGGTCTGGAGCCATTGTCGCTCGATCTTGGCGAGGCGCTGCTCTTCCTCGAGGCGCTTTTGCTCCACAAGACGCTTCTCCTCCATCAAGTGCTCCTCCTCCTCTTGACGCTTCACCTCAACGAGGCGCTTCTCCTGAATGAGACGTTTCTCCTCGAGGAGCTTCACCTTGCGAAAGCGCCTCTCCTCAAGTCGCTTATTTTTTTTCTCAAGACGCTTCAGCTCTATGAGACGCTTCACCTCAAAGAGGCGATTCTCCTCCATGAGGCGCTTCTCTTCCTCGACTCGCTGCACCTCAATGAGGCGCTGCTCCTCGACAAGGCGCTTCTCTTCTTCCACCCGCTTCTCCTCCATGAGGCGCTTCTCTTCCTCGACCCGCTTCACATCTATGAGGCGCTTCTCTTCCTCCAGATGCTTCTCCTTGAGACGCTTCACCTCGCGAAGGCGCTTCTCCTCCATGAAGCGCGTTTCTTCAAGGAGGCGCTTTTCCATGACCCGTTTCACGTCTTTGAGGATATTATTTCGAAGGCACTTCTGCTCCGTTTGGTGCTTCACCTTGGCGAGGCGCTTCACCTCATTGGGGCGCTTCTCTTCCATTGTGCATTTTTCCTTCGCAAGGCGCTTG